ATGCAGCGCTGCAAAAAAACACGCGGCTAACTTCTGAGAGCCGCCGCCGAGGCACTGGCGTTAGGTCCCGATAAATCGGCGCCCAGGCCACGCGCCAGTGAACCGGCGCGGGTCCGGCGCTCCGAACCACGCGCGCCCGCTCGCCCAGCCTTCACTCCAGCTGACTCAGTGTAAACACGGCGAAGTAGGTCGGCGGGAGTGCGCCCGGCCGGCGGGAGACGCGGCCGGCAAATAGACGGTCTGGTGTGGCCAGCGTCCGCAGCGGCCGGCCGCCTCCGGCCGCCGCTCGTGCCGGGCCCCGGGGACAGCCCGCGGCGGCTGGCGGCTGGCGGCGCTTCTCGGCAGCTCGGGGGTGCTGCCTGCAGGCAGGACCCCGCCTGCCACACCAGAGGGCGCGGTGCATAGCTAAAATATCCCGAAGCTGGTCGGTGGCACCATCGCCTGCCCCTTTGCTCTCCTGCCAACCGTGCACAATGCGAGCGTGGTAGAGAACGTGTGAGTGAATGAACAGGATGGGGAGGTGGAGACGGAGGAGGAAATAGGTGAGGCAGCGTTAACGTGGAAAATTGCACAGTGGTGAGATGATAGGGACAAAGGGAATGAAAGACAGCAGAATGGGAAGAGAAAGACGGGAGTGAGGAAGCAGGCAAGGGAGGAAGGAACAGGTACGGAAGGAGGGAAGGGACGAGTAAAGTAGAGGAAGCGAGAATGAATGAAAACAAACAAGGAAGAAAGGAAAAAAGTAGTTAAAAGGGAAGAAAGGAAGAAGAATAATGCAAGCAAAGGATGGATAACGGGTCCAAGAACGGGAGGGACGAAGGAAGAAAACAAAAAATAAAAGGAGAGGGAAAATGTGGGGCAGGATGGAGGCAGGCACGGAGACAGGAAAGCGCGCAGGGAGACAGAACAGGCAGGGAGAGAAAAGAGAGGGAGGGAGGGAAGGAAGGGAGGCGGGAGGGAATGGCGGGAGGGAAGGAATAAAAGAGAGGGAAGGAAGGAGAGAGAGCGAGGAAAAGCAAGGAGATAAAGAGAGAGGAAGGGAGGAGGAAGGAGGGTACGCTTTAGCGCTACCACGCGCCGAGGGTCGTGCTTCAGCGCACCTGCACGCGCCGGTGAGCCTGCTGACGCGCCGGCGGCCGCGCCGGACAGCTCTGTCCAGGGAGGCGTTACACCCGGAGGTCTCCATGAGCCCACGACAGCTGCCGACCGGTCGGTGGCCGCCAGGCCAGACAGGTGTCGTTTCAATGGACGACGGTATGCGGACTCGCTGGCCGCCCGTCCCGGCCCGTCTCGTCCCGTCCTGTCCGTTCCCGTTCCCGTTCCCGTTCCCGTTCCCGTTCCCATGCCGTGCCGTTCCGTGCCGTGCCGTGCCGTGCCGTGCCGTGCCGTGCCGTGCCGTGCCGTCAACAGGAGGGTCGACGTCGCCATATGCCGGGTCGGGCTCCGACCGGACGGCGGCGGCGGCGCACCCGTGACTATGAAATCACCTGCACAATGGCAGCTGCCATGCGTCAGCCGCAGAACACCCAGGACAGTGACGTCACCTGTGCGACGGCAGCTGCCACGCGTCAGCCGCAGCGCACCAAGGACTGTGACGTCACCTGTGCAAAGGCAGCTGCCATGTGTCAGGCGCAGCGCCGACGGGTGGCGCACGTGACTTGGACCGCTTGCCAAAGGCACCTTTGTAGGGAGGTGTTGAATGGCAAACTATTATCAGATGGGAGCAGTGGAGCTGTGGCTTATGTAAGCCCCGCAAAGATACTCGACACTTCACTGTGTGTGCGCGCGTTCTTTGGGGTTTAAAGGTGTGCCATGAAGGTCCAGCAGCACGCGTTGTGACAGCACGTGTTGTCTCCGCCTGGGCAAATTTGCGAGAAGCCGTCGAATTTGTGTTTGATGAATTCTGCGGCAATCTGACGGTGCAATAGCACGACGCAGTGATTCGGAGAAAAAAACAAAGGGCGAACGACGTACGTGTCGGGTGGAAGACGTTAATCATGGACGTCATGTTCAACAAAAACGGCCCTTATCAGAGTGTTACAGCCTGACACTAAAAAGGCTAATCAAACAAATCACAGCGCTATCGTCCTTGCTACCAAAATGATATGACATTGTGCACTGACTGATTTGGCTTGGGGGGGGGGGGGACGGCGCGAACGCTTGGTCATACGCGCTCTTTATTGAGCATACACTGCAGGCACTGTTCCGCCCTGCACAATCCGAGCCTCGCCAACAGGGAGAGGTCAAGCACCAAGGACGGCAAGTGAGCAAACTCAAGCGGCGATCCTATCCAGCGGCGCCTGCTGAGCGCACGCCGACCCGGCGCACCGTCCCGACACGTGGCCGCCTGTTCATGAGCGGTCCGTTTTCACGAGCGCTGCAGGGTTGCCAAATGGCCACATGGTACGCCGGAGTGACGCAAGGCGACCAGACGTCGTGACCGCTCCGACAGATCACGGCCAATATACGGCCAATTCGCCGCGGCGTGATTTAAAAGGTAAGCGTAATCGCCGATGCAGCAGATAATGTGATGCAAACGAATGCGATATGAAGCGAGGGACCTCTGCACAGGCTTCAGGTGCAGAACTTCGTGTACATGAAGTAAACTAGCAATTACGCTGGTGATGCAAGAACGCGCTTGAATTGGGGATGATTGTCCGCGGTGTGCTCAACGAATGCAATGAAAACGCTGGGTGGAATAAGCAATGACCTTACCGTTTCTGGGTCACAGGGCTGAAGTGTTTATTAAAACTGTCCGCTGCCAGAATCACCACATCATCAACGGTAATACACGGCGTACGCCTCTACCCACTGACGGCTCATTTCGCCATGACACTGGCCGCTAGATGGCGTTGATTTAATTTCGAGGTGATATCCGAAAGGAAGCGCACTGTCTTGGACCCTTTACTTGCTGTCGTCACGATGTCATGCCGTGATCCTTGTCACTACTGGTCATGTAAAAAGCCAGCTGGAAGACCGATGTAAGGCATTTGGAAGGTAAATTACCACTTGAGCTTCACTGATGTGACCGGAGCTTTGGCCCCTGGGACTTAACTGGTCTGCGACCTGTCACCACTATCCCCCGCTTTAAAACGACATTCAAACTGTGAAGGCGAGCCTCAATCCGACAGCTTCCACCTCCCCGTGCGGGAAGCGAGGACATCCGATCTGATACAGCTGGGAGCATCGACGAACCGAATCACAAATTGCGGAGCGCGATTGCTGCTCACCTCAGACGATAAACACCACCTGAACAAAACAACCACCTAAACCAGCTCCATCATTAGGTCATACGCTTGCGCTATCCAATCCACTGCAGACTTGACCGACGGGTGTGAGGCAAACGAATGCACCACGGAGTACTACGTACGCTGTGGTGTATTACGGCCACGGCTTTGTGAAACCACCTTCCGAGCAGCATCGGCATTATGCACTGCTTAAGACCCCACCGCCTCGGGAGCTCGCCATAATTAGGCATTATCCCGGCAACGTCTATAACGGTAAGACCGCGGTCCGGTCTACGGTGAGACCACAGTCCGGTCCACGGTGAGACCGCGGCCCAGTACACGGTGACACAACAGTCCGGTCCGAGGCAGCGTACCGCGGGGTCCGTTGTTCGCCCCGCTGCACAGTATCCGTATACTGCGCGAGCCTACACGTCTCCGCACCGCAGTCATGCCAGCCGAAGTGTCTCAGCCGTACCCCGCGCTCGCTGCTGCGTCTCGCCGCTGCGCCCGGTACTGGGCGCCGAGTCAGCCCGCCGCGCCCCACGCGAGTCAAAACGTGTCCCGGCCGCATCCTGCTCGAGTCGCCGCGTCCACGCAGCGTGTTCCGCGGGACACCACAGCCGCGACCGTCGCCGTCGCCGCCGCCGCCGCCGCCGCCGACTCGCCGGCCTTGGATGTCGCAAGCGGTGCGCCGCCGGCCGGTCCTCTCTCCCGCGCCGCGTTGCGACACGGCGATGACGAGCGAGCTTCCCCTGCGCCGCCGCCGTCGCCGCCGCCGCCTGATTGGTGATCCCATCTCGCCCTCGCCGCCGCCACGGTAGCGTGGCGTCGTGACCGAGCCGAAGGAGTGGGACGCGCCCGGAGAGAGGCCACCACCCACGAGGCGCGGCTGGGTGTGGCGCGCCGCTTTCGCAAACGCGCCGTGCCGCTGCTGCAGGCGCCGGCCGCCGGGGAGGCCCGCGAGCCGCTGACACAACGGAGCGGGGCCTCGCGCCGCGCCGGCCCGGCCATGGGCGGGTCCAGCGGAGCATGTCCACACAGCCGTTTGGCAGCCAAAAGCTGGATAAACACTTACACTCGACGTGCGGTCTGGTTAAAAAGCAAACGATGCCAGACTTCCAGCACCTGCCCCTCGTCAAACCGGCTGGCCCCGCCCGCTCCTGGATTCGATCGTTCGGGGCTACGCCGGCGGCACGGGCCTTGCTCCAGGAGGTGCGGCGCCTGAACCAGAGCCCCGGGGACGCGCTGTCCCGCGTGACGCTCCCCGTGGCGCCGGCGGAGGCCCGGCCGGCCGGCCGCTCGCTCACGGCTCAGGCGCGACCCTTGCACCACCGCGGCATAAGCGTCACCTTGGAGGCCCAGGAGAGGCAGAGCTGGCGCCTTTCTAAAACCGGGCGGAGTCGGAGGCGGCGCAGACGCCGACGGCGCGGCGCCACCTGCTCCAACGGGCTGGCGCAGCGACGTGTGCACGCGTACGAGAACGGTGCTACCTATGCGTATTGTGTTATGCCCAGATAAAGGCGTTGTGTTTTGGGATGCTTCACGACAACGCACACACGAGTGGCTGAGCGGCACTGATCCATCCGGAGAATCAAATCAGAACGTACTCACCGGAGACGAGAAAAGTGCTCGCGATCTGCCGATCCCGCCGCTCCGATCGGCCGGTCTCGCCGCTCCGATCCGCGGTCCATGCGCCTCGGCGATCCACGCACGCTTCGCAACGCTTCGCCGGCGCTTGTCATCGGCCGGCCGCACGCGCGCACACCCACTTACCGTCCCTGGACATGCCGAGCTTCAGGCATTTCTGCAGTCGGCAGTACTGGCACCGGTTTCGGTTGATCCTGTCGACGACGCAGTTTTTCTGCCGCGGACACTGGTAGTTCACTATGCCCGACTGCGAGCGGCGGAAGAAGCCCTTGCAGCCTTCGCACGTGATGATGCCATAGTGCACACCCGACGACTTGTCGCCGCACACTTTGCACGGGATGATCTCAATCTGGGCTGTAACAGAGGGGCGGGCGGGCGGTTAGCGTGGTGGCGGAGGAGGCGGGGGCGGAGGCAGCAACGGTGAATGGGCATGTGGCGGGTGAGGCCCGGCTCCACACGGCTGGGGTGCTCTCAACGGAGCCGTCCGCTGAAGGCGCCATGCTGTTGTAATGCTATCGAGAAAATTGTTATTGTTCCGCCTACTGTGGCGAAGGTGGCGCTTTAATTGGAATGTCTAAGTTATGTGGTTCGTTACGAATTGTTGCCCAATTTCAGCATTAGCCGTGGCGTATTATGCAATTCTAGCCGCACTCGCCAGCGTTCATCACGAGGACATAATGAAAGTATGCCGCCGGATACACAACGACCTATGAGGAGCGCCTAATGGGGCTCGTGACACACAAGTGCTTTGTAGCCAGCACCGGGTTACATCAAACACCGCCGCGTGACCCCGCCGACCCGGCAGGCAGGGGTCGTGACCCTGGGGCACGGGCCCACGCCCAGAACCTCTGCCCGCCACCAGCTCGACACCCGCCACCGCTGTCACCCGCTGAGACCGAGCACTGGGCGGGGACATGGGCGGCGGAGAGACGGCGCCCGCTCGTCGCGGCGTTGCAGGACGCCCAGGACGCGGCTTCGTCGAACGGGGACAAACTCGCCTTGTTTCCAGGACTCGGGTTTGCACCCGTTCGAACGCCATGATTCGGGATGAGGGGGGGGGGCAGAAATGAGACAGTACATTGTGATGTTCGTCGCGTGATTGCTAAGTAGGGTACTACTGCGTCCTTCGCTGCTCGCATTTCACGGACGATCGAACGGCCCGCGCTTAATGGCGTCATAAACAAGCTCGCTGTCCTGCGGACTTGCACAATTAGAGCAATCGAACACAGCAAGAGTACGCCTAAAAGTGATGCAAACAAAACGGACAAGAACACACCCGAATGCATAATTTATCCGCCCAAATGAGCAGAACGTCACGCGACATACGCCGCAGCCTCGGAGGAGCGCCAGCCAGCGTGGCTACTCAGGTTTTTCTTCGGTTGCGGACGGGCGCTAGCCGCTGCATGGATCCAGGGCGGACGAAAATAGCGCCGGACCAGGAAGCACGGTATGCCAGGGCTCACGCAGCCCGCCCCCCTCTCCTCCCTCGGCACCTAACCGCCCGACCGCAGTAACGGGTCCCCAAGCAGGCTGCCCCGCTCTGCACGGCCGAGTGGCTTCACTACGGATGTCCTGCGAGATGTACGTAATGGCGAAATTGTACGCGCAGGAGCTGGAGGGGAAATTTGAGGAACGACAGTTTGAGATGAGCTTGCACTGTCGTAAAATACGCAGCCTTTATTTATCATATCAGATAACGCATTATCTGTCGCACAGCCATTTATACTAGGATTGATACAAATAACGCTGAAATTTGGGTCTGAGGCGCAAAAACCAACCGCCTCCAACGAAGTTGAGACCCTCCGATCAGCGTCCAGAGCTAGCGATGACACAAAGCATCTCTGCAGTCCCCAGCCGGGTTGGCAACCCCTGGCCGCGCGCCAGCCAGGACCCGCCCCCCGTCCACCGGTTATGCCCACTCTCGACCCCCTCTCCCCTCTCCCAGCTCGCCGGAGCTGGTTGGCAGGGGAAGACGCAGTCAGTTACACGTGTTTTTCTTGCGTTCCCAGATCCGAAATAGTCGACCTCGGGCGCCGCTCACCGCTGCCGTCCATTTATCAAGCTCACCCAGCCCTGGGAGCCGGGGTGGCTGACCCGCGACACCTTTTTGACACTCCCGGGATGCTGGATTGACCTGAATCGCCCGGCGAAAAGCGGCAGCAGGTGGACCGCCGGGCCAAGCAGCCGTGTTTCAACGCTCCGCGCACAGGATGGCGTTCGGCGAAGAACGTCACGTGGGTGGAGAGGTTTGAAGGAGCCGCGAAACACAGGCGCATTCTTTCGCGACTGACTTCGCCGAAAGTGCGGAAATGCCTTCGTCGATAGCGTGAAAATGTCAACTGTTCATGATTCTGACTTGACTGGTTATTATAAGTATGGGCTGAAAAAACATCACGAATACTGAGCAACAAGCTGTAACATAATAGCAAGTTGGCGCATGGTCCAGTGGCAAAAATAATTCACAGCTGACACAAATTCATCCGAGATCAACCTAACATGACTCACAGCAAAGTGAAATCGTTAACTACATAAATAGCACCTATTACAAAAGCGAAAGTGTTTGCCTTTCAACAAATTCCGGCTGCCTTTGAGGCACCTCATTCAACCCACCACGAGTACCCACACCCATCCGCGCCAACGGCCAGGATTGCACGGCTTGTTAATCAGCTGTTGCAGCTGTTTTGTTCGTCCCTCAGCTGCCGCTCGCACCTGATTCGAGTGCCGTGACCCCACGGTCTGCGCGCGCTCGATGCCCCCCCCCCCCCGAGGTCAAGCAGGTTCACCGCTCCCGGGCGTTCAGACAGACGGTGGTGCCGGCGGGCGCGCGCGCGCGCAGGACTGTTGCCGGCCGGCGCGACCTTGACGGGCCGTCGGGCGGCGCCGGTCGACCTTGAAATCCCATTGACCCCTGGGGGGCCTCCGCGCCGTAGTAACGTAGTAAAGGCGGCCTCGGCGCGCCGGTTCGCGCGCGCGCGGGCGGGTGAATCAGGTGGGGTGAACGACCGACGCGGTCGGGGCGGGGACGAGGGCAGGCACGCGGGCGTGCGGAAGGGGCTTGGCAGAGGGGGAGAGCTTCGCGCGGAGGAGACGGCGACTTGCCAGAGGTGTGGCACATCGAGGGGCGGCGGTAGCACCTGGCCGGCGGGGGGGGGGGGGCTCGTCCTGCGGGCGCAGTATGACGCGTCGCGCACGGTTCGACGACCTGTCGATCGATAAGTGTTCAAACTTCCGACCGGCGTCTGCAATCGCGGGGCGATAGCTGCGACACACCACCACCGTCCGCTAGCGCGCAACTTCCGCGTTTGCTCCTCGTGGACCAATCCGCCCGGGGGCAATGAGTCCACGCACGTCCAGCCCGGGACGGAACGCTGGGTCTCAGGTCTACGCCTGACTGGAGCGGTTCGAGCAGCACGTCCCGTTTCGGTCACACGAGCTCCGGCACTGGCGCCGTTGGCCTCAACACCTGGAAGCGGCGTGGCGCCCAGCCTGGCCCACGCACCAACACCAGCTCAACATATGATCCGTTTTTTAGCACTTCCTTGCCGGTCACCACCCCGCACAGGCGGCTGCGGACGCTCGTCCAGCGCCGCGGCTCCACAAAGGGCCGTCGTCCCCCACATGAGTGCGGTGGAGGGGCCGTCAGAGACAGTTCCGCGTTCCCCTCCCTCCTCCCGAGGGGTGCGGGTGCCGCCCGGACCGGACAAAGGAGCGAGGGCGGCCGGGATTCGCTACGTTGGGCCTCCGCGGTCCGCCGCGGGGACCAGCGGGCCGGTACGATGACGCTGCCCGCTCGCTCTGCGGCACGGCGGCCGTAAAGCTGTCGGCGCCGCGGTAAAACTGTAAAACTCCTGGCGCTGGTTTCTCTTGTAGAGGGGCGAGGCGGGCGGGAAGAGCCAAAACCGTCCTAGAAATGTTGCCACGCCAATTTAACACAAGGGTCCACAATTTTCTCGGATGGGAAAAGGGCGGTAGACATTAAGCGACGAGCCCTTCAAACCAGGCGGCGATGCTGCCTGCCGGCGCCCCTGGTGCCGCCCGCGGCGCTGCCGGCCCCGCCCGCCTCTGCCGGGACGCATCTGACCTCGACTGTGCCGCCAGTCACACGTCACATCCGTCAGCCGTCGGGCGGAGCAGCCAGGTGACAGACCGAGCAGATCAGATAAAAATACCGTCTCGCCACGTCAGGCTTGGGACCACGGACCGTCGGCGGCGGGACAGGCCGCCGGCCGGGCTAGGGCGGGCGCCCTCTGGAGGCGGCGCCGGGCGCGGGGGCGGGCGGCGTCAGAGAAGTTCTGGAGGGGGCCGGGACAGCACCAGCTGCTCGATCGGGCGAGAGGAATAGCGCTGTGGTAAGCACGCCACAGCCCCATATTTTGCGATAGGGTTGATGCCAGGGGGATCTTATTCTAAAAAAAAAACGCACGATGACCATTTTTTCCCTAGTTGTAGGGGCTTAAAAAAACCTTCAAAATCGGGTAAGAAGCAATCTCTTAGCCCGAGGACGGAACCATGAGCAAGAACAAAAGATGTCTCGTTTTTTTGGAAACGACATACTAAGGCATCAAATACACCGACCAGCGTCTGTGGTTTCACCAGCGGCAGCCAGCGGCCGGTGCGCGGTCACCTTTTTTGGTCACAGCCGCCACCAGCGTCCTCCGCCAGCCCATGACAAAGGGCGCGTAGCTGGGCCCGTCGTGACCTCGACACGGCGCGCTCCTCGTCACCGGCTCGCAATGCAAGGAGGGGTCGGCGACCGCTGCATACGTAATGCGCCCCGATCGGAGGCCGCCACCTGAAGCGCGGTCCGGCCGGCTCTGGACAGGGCCCGGGGAGGCCGCCGCCAGCGGGCGCGCCGCGCCTGGGACGCCCGGTGCCGTGCAGCCGGCTCTCCGGTTCGCGGATGTCTCGGCGGCGAAGTGGGTCAAGCTGTGGGCATGAGTAATCCGCGAACTGGACTTAGCAATCTGTCGCGCTGGGATTTACGTGTCTGGCTCGCTGGGTGGCCCTTCATGACTTGGTGCGTTCAGAAACTGGATAAAAATAACACAACGGCTCAAGCTGCCATTCAAGAATCAAAACAGTGTTCGAATTCGAGCCCTTTCTATCACGGGCTGTTTTTGAGCATCAGGAGTACGATTTCCCTAATGGATCCAATTTCCAGCTCCAGATAACGTCTCTCAGACGGGCGGCAGTGTCCTGGTCTTTCCGTCCAGGTAGCGGTGTTTTGCGAGGGGTCGCCGGCGTGCGGCGACCAGCGTGCCTGTGTGGGATGTTCCCAGAAAGCTGGCACAAGAGGTCGACAGCGGGTTCAAGGATGACTCCCAGGAACAAGCCAGGCGTCTTCCATAACCCGTCGGCTCGGCCTTGCGCGTGAACGAGCACGTGGGCAAAGCATATTCGGGGACTAAAATTCACGCATGCGTGCGCGGGCAAGTTAGCAAAAATAGTGGAAAATCCCCAACTAGCATACCAAGATAGTAACTTCTGAGCAAAAAACATAGCGACTTAAGATAGTAACCAGTAGCCACTCACTACATGGTCGGGCACTAACCACGAGAACCGCCCACGCACGCGCCCGTGACCTCCACACCCAGCTTGGCGGGAGCAGCTCTTGCAAAACAGTGGGAATTCCTCGGTCGCTTCTCAGTACGTGACCCGGTCTTACGCGATCTTACGTTAAAACGTGATTGTTTTCTTACGCTCCGTCAAGGAGGGCTAAAGAGGGGGCCTGACGCGCTACACTAGGGACTGCTACGGGGTGTATCAGAGGACATCGCATCTGCGCAGGTCCCACCGCCTCCGGCACTTGCATTTCGTTTTGAGATGCAGCTTTTTGGCTCCAGATCGACATGAAGCCCAGTGCTTTTCGCCCGGTTGCGCGTCAAACACGCCGGGCTTTCGCAGGCAGGGAAAGTCAGGAAACTTGTGCCGTGCATAGCTACTTTCACACAGCTCTTTGGCGTCAAATTACGGTCATGAGTTGTTTGTCTGCGCTTATGATAAATTCCGCTTTCTCCAGTCCTTTTCTTAAGAATGCATACATGAAGGCGATAACACATTTCTGCCCATTAGTAGCAGAGGCGATAAGCCTGAAAGAGCGGTGAGGAGCACGCCAGTGGATACATTCCTGTCTTCAAAGGCACGACAGAGGGACGGTCGTGTTAGTGTCATATGCATACCAGGTTGTGGCATGATATTTCATATACACCTTTGAGTCCTGCACTCATGGTAAGTAATGTGACACGCATCCTTATTGCCGCACAGCGTTATTCTGAGCTTATGTCGCACTCATGCACACTCATTGTATTAATGATACCAAGTAGTTCGAACTTTTGAGAAGTGCGAGAAATATACAAAATTCACAGACAAATTTTGCGTGCATAATTTACGGGTGGAAGAACTCTCTTTGACTACTAATGGTTAAGCTGTTAAATGTCCAGCAGTCCAACAGTACTTGTAAGTTGTGTGTGTGTATTGATCTATAGCCTCTCATGTGGAGACAATCCAATAAACTTCACCAGTTTTTATCGCAGCCCATATGCCCAAAAAGAAATACCATGGTTGTGACCGGAACAACAGCGTGGTAACCTCCTACCTGGCTGGCTGCATCTGAGTTTGACCACGACGGGCTGTGGCACTGGCTCTACCACGGCTCAAAAGCCAAGGAACCCGATCCTTTTTCAGGCGTTTCCTCACACTCGAATTCCGGAATGCTCGTGGGGCGCCGCCCCGCGGCGCCGCCCGCGGGCAGTGGGCGGCGATCCTGGACGGGGCTGCGTCTCCAGTGGCGTGCCGTGCCGTGCCGGACGCGGCGGCGGCGGTGGCAGGCGTGATGGACGTCCGCCATCGCGGCCAGGCCCCACACGGATGCGGCGTTAATGGCGCGACGCAGGGGCGCACGAACGACGACGCTGGGGAGGCCGCTCACCAGTACCCCTCCCCCCTCCCCTATCATCTCCATTGAAGTGCGGCCAAGACCGCCGGACTCGCACGGGAGGGGGCGGACACAATTGTTCACTAAATAAGAAACACTTCTTGGTGGTCGCTCGCACTTCCAGAGGTGTCCCCGCCCTTGGACAGCCGCTCCACGCCCGGCACTAACAGCGGCGTGCGGCGTCGGTGAGCGCGCGAGTCGAGGCGGCGGCGTCGCCGGGCCGGCTCGGGCCCGAGGCCGCCGGGTGGCGACGCGGCCGTGTTGAGCAACGCTCGTGGGCTGGACACGGGCGCGGGATCAGTGACGCGACCCGAGGCGGCCCACGTACGGCTCAGCTCCGGCAGATAGGTCACTGACCCGTGTTCGGATGGGGGGATGGATGTGTGAGAGCAATTTTGATATGGCACGCGGAGCCAATTACACAGCTTGGTTTACATTGCGGCCTCAACTGTATTTCATGTGGGTCCCCCTTATATCCCAGCACGGGCGTAAAATGGAACCAAGGTGTGCAGGTCCCATTCCAGCCTTACATTCCAGCCTTTCAAAATAAATTGTAAAGAATGGACTAACTGTCAAACGTTTGTACTCACCATAGCCAGAATGGTGATGTCGTCATTTTGGCCCCGGATCCAATACCATAAATGTGACCATGGAGAATCCTGACCGGAAACGGGCGCGAGTAACGAATGCAGTTGACGCGCCCTTCAAGCCCAGTGACTAACAAGACCGAAGACAAGTGAGCTGATCGTGCCACTCGTAACGCATACCGAAGCCGATCGCCGGCATCTCTGATCGCGGAGCATTCGTCGTGCTCTGATCGATGCGATAAGCTTTCTCCTCTCCCCATGGCAACCGACGGATTACGAGAGAGGTGTGACGACGCGCCGAATTTTACTTGCAGGCGCCGTGAAGTACCAAAGTCAGTTCGAAGTCGCCTCACGCCGCGTTGCGCAAGGCGCTCACGCTAATCGGCCTGCGGTGATGGAGCGAGCTCGGCCTGATCAGCTGCGTTGCGCAGCCACCGCCGGTAATTGAGCGGCGTTCCTCGCGCCGTTATGTTGCGACGAGCGCTGCGCGTCCGGGTCCGCGCACCTGCCGCCGGCTCCCACGCTCGCGCGGAGGCACGCGGCCGGGCGTCCCCTGAGAGACCGGTGTGGCGTCCGCCTCGCTGGACGGGCCGATCCCGTCTCTCATTAGCGACGCCGGCCGAGGGACGCACAAAAAACACGGAAGGGGCGGCGGACGGCATGGGGGATGGGCTCGGTGGGGGAGACCCCGCGACATCTCGTCAACAGGTGAGCAGCGGGGAGGGTCGACCGCGCGCCGCAGAGGAGCGGGAAAGACCCACGGCTGGGGCCGCCGGGACGGGGTCACGGAGGATCCCGGAATCCGCTGACGTGAGAGGAACGAGAAGCGCGTGATGTCGGACACGGGACACGGGAGAGCGGCGAAGACGGGACACGGGGGCACGAGCCTGGGGGACGGCGGCCAGCGGGAGCGACTGCCGGGGTGAATACGCCGAACTCGGGCGAACAAACACATGTGGGCGGGAGCAGGGAGAGCACTGGTGACAGCGTGCGTGGACGGGGGACGGAAGCAAGGAACGTGCGACATGGCACGACTGCCGGACGCTGACCGGACAACGGTCATCGAGCCATGGAGTGGGGGTCGACTTTTCGAAATGGAACGAGAACAAGTGACAAGAGACAGTACGGCGTGTGCGGGGCCACGTACGTAGAGTACCAGGGAGTGCAACCGAAAACCACATCCCTCTAAAATATGAGGGTTTTGATGTTCGGTGGTGATGTTAAGATAGTTTAAGATATCATCATGGGCACAGCCTGGGTTTTCTTTAGGGAGGGCCCGAGGTTAGTGAGCAGGCATCACACCGATTTCCAACCTTCTGTCAGGAGCCATCTATGGTGACAAAGGAAAATTCGGGCCTTACGGAGGGGGTCGCCCCCCCCCCCCCTCTCCTTCCTGGCTATGCCTTTGGATGTCGAGGCCAACTACAGAGAATGTTGGGACACATGTCCGGGCAAAATTGGTAGAAAGTGACTGACACATTGAAAGAAAGACACTTTGAAACCGAGGTGACCAGTGCATTTGACGTCCGCTTGAGCAGTGGGCATCATCAAACGGACATTGTGAAATATCACAGGAGTCAATACATCCACGGTCAACCACCACCACGTGAGCAAATACATATGCTGACATAGCAAGCAAGTACGCATGGTCGCATGGTAAGTTCCAGCACATATGGAGACAAGCAGAGCAAGCCATATCAAGCCAGCACCGCGCCCTCCCTCCACTTCCCAAAGGAGGCATGCAGAAGAAATACAATGTGTTAGTAAGGACAGAAAGAAGATGACGGATAGAAAAAAAATAAGACGAACAACTGACTTTTTGGATGGTTGACTTGCTGCAGGGTTTGCGGCATCAAATAATCAGCTAGAAAAGAAACAGGTAACAAGTGAGACCGTGCGCAAACGCAAACAAAAGTCAAAGTCAAACGAAGAAGTGCTGGACAGCGGGGCAAGGCTCTACACAGCTTTCAGCAAACGTCACGGAGCTAGGCGCGCGGTCCTCGAGCGGGCTGGACTGCGGGTCGGTGGCCGCGCCCAATGTCGTCTCGATCTCGTAGTCTCGGCGCTCGCTGCCACTCGCGAGCCGGCCCGCGTCTCGCGCGCGCGAGCGTTCTCCCGCTGGACCGCACCACCCGACCCGACCCGACCCGACCCGACCCGACCCGACCCGACCCGACCCGGCCCGCCCGACCCGACCCGACCCGACCCGACCCGACCCGACCCGACCCGACCCGACCCGACCCGACCCGACCCGACCCGACCCGACCCGACCCGACCCGACCCGACCCGACCCGACCCGACCCGACCCGACCCGACCCGACCCGACCCGACCCGACCCGACCCGCACTCGTGCCCGGGCGAGGCGGTCTGCAGGGGCGGGGCGAACGCGGACGACTACGACGCGTCCCTCACCAGGACCGCGTCACGACACGGCTGGACAACGGTCCAGTTGGATTCGCTGTAAATGGCTGTGAGCTAGCACATGATCCCTCTGGCGTAGAAATAGCTCCGCCGTGACCAGCTTTGGATTCTGACCGGTTCGGTCCGGTCCCCCCCCCCCCCCCCTCCGTGCCGGACCGGCGACACCAGTTGGGCGAGTGTACGTGCGGCAGCTGGCTCCGGTCCCCGATGAACCCGCTGGTCCGCTGGTCCGGTCCGTCTGGACGACGCTTGGTGGCTACGGAGCGTGCGCAGAGAGCAGCTAATCCAGAGGAAGAAAAAACGGTCCGGAGCCGGCCAAGCAAGGTATGGGACGTCACGAGCCTGTCCACAGAGCATCGTGGCTTTCCTCCCAATCCGACATTCGTCTTACTGTGACTTACAGGCATGCCTCCCGTCACACGGCATGTAACAGTACGCTCTTGCCGTGTGTGGAACCAGCGGGCCCTCCGCGTCTCCCTGCGCTGGGTATTCTATATCCAACCATGGCGCTTAACGGATCACTGTAGGTGACGTAACTCATGCCCGAGTCAGCGCAAAAAACCTCGGCGTTTTTTCTCTTTACTGAGCCAAACGCATCACGCAGCCAGAAATACCAGACCGCAAACGCGTTGCCGGCCGTGGTGACTCCGCCGCGAGTTCAAAGTCCGGGCGCCAGGGCCGTGTCATGTCACGCCCCCGCGTACGCCTCCACCCTCCCCCTGCCCCTCCCCACCCCTGAACGGGACCAGGCCAGAACGCGGTCCCAAATCATGGCCACCGGGACTGCGCAGGAGGCACCGCCGACGCCGCCGGCGTTGTTGTGGACACCCGTCCGAGTTGCACGTTTTTCGGCGCCGCCTGACCGTTAGTATGCGCGGCGTTCCGTCTTTGGTGAATGCACTCTGTGACCCACTTTCACGCGGTGTTGCGTCACAGAGCGGCCGGGTGGCTGCTGGTCCCAGCAGCGGGCCTGGCTCTACCTTCACCGGCGCCGGCGCCACGGTCCGGGCCGCCCGCAGCCGGGCACATAGGAGTCGTCACGGCTGACATGGGTACATGAGAGCCATCATAGCTGACATGAGTACATGGAAGCCGTTTAAGGCCGACATGTGTACATGGGAGCTGTTATGGGCTGGCGTAGGTAGACGGGGCGGTCACGGGCTGACGTGGGCACGCGGAAGCCATCACGGGCTAACATGGGCACATGGAAGCCCATTATGGACTGACATGAGTACATGGGAGCCATCATGGGCTGGCATGGGCACATGGCAGTCATCCTGAGATGGCATGGGCACATGGAAGTCGGCACAGGCTGACATGGACGCATAGGAGTCATCATGGACTGACATGGGTACATGGGAGCTATTGCGGGTTGACATGGACACATGGGAGCCATTGAAGGCTGGTGTGCATACACAGGGGTTGTTACAGGCTGGCATGGGCACATGGAAGCAGTTTCAGGCTGGCATGTTTGCATGGGAGCCGTTACGGGCTGACATGGCCACATGGGAGCCGTTGCATGCTGGCATGCGTGCGCGGGAGCCATTACAGGCTGACATGGGTAGACGCCAGCCATTATGCCACTGGCGTGGGCACACGGGAACCGCCAAGAGTGTGACGTGGGCATCCCAGAGTCGCTAGTCTTGGGTTTGTCACGTGAACATGTCAGCCGTCTCCAGACTTACGTTGGCACGGGGGAACTAACACTGGACTTATACGGATAAGTATGAAGTGTCAACTTACTGGCCCCGCGCGCGTCATAGGACGGAAAGTTGTGCAAAACAGCTGCTACCCATGCCTGACATGGGTAGTTTATACAAAGCCTGACATGGCTGTGGAATGCGTGAATCCGCGACAGGTTATGGCCAAGGACTGAAATCAGTACAAGGAAGATGTCATTTGTGGCTGACACGTGTGCACAGTAGATGCTAATGAATTGGCGTGGGCACGTAGGGACTCAGAAAATTGGCAGATTGTCATATGGTTTGGTGTTACCATCACGAGAGTTGTCTGAGAGCCGAGAGTTACAGTAAAGTAAGCCTAATGGCTAAATTAGATAAAAGGAAGCGGCTCGAGGGCAGCCGAACTCGGACGGCATATCCTGTTGTGTGGGAGTTCCAAAATGGACATAACATTATTGGGATCAGCCAGGGGGTCCAAAAATCATAAGGAAGGATACATACACATCAGAGGAGGCAAAATGGCTTCACCGATGACCCATCAATCACAAAAACCGAGCTCTGTACGAACCGTACCGACGCCGTGCGTTGCTGCCTTCAGCTGGACCGCCGGGTCACGGTCAAAATTGTTGTCCCAGGCCACAGCCCGGCTGCAAGCTCTAAATCTTGTGAAACGTAAGCGTTGTTTTCGCCGGAGTGGATTTTCCAGCCGGGCGACCCCCACATCTCCGGTGGCGTCCTGTCGGCCGCGGTTTATCGGCCATCAGCAGACGCCACGACATGACGCCAAGGCTGCCGCTGCCCGCTAACTCACGATAGCGCACGCGGCCCGCCACCTGAGCCGAGCGCGCCCGGCGCTGCGGGCGGACCGATACGCGCAGAGACCTGGCTCCATGCCCGGCGATGCGGGCGGACCGATACGCGCAGAGACCTGGCTCCATACCCGGCGCTGCGGGCGGACCGATACGCGCAGAGACCTGGCTCCATACCCGGCGCTGCGGGCGGACCGATACGCGCAGAGACCTGGCTCCATACCCGGCGCTGTGGGCGGACCGATACGCGCAGAGACCTGGCTCCATACCCGGCGCTGCGGGCGGACCGATACGCGCAGAGACCTGGCTCCATACCCGGCGCTGTGGGTGGACCGATACGCGCAGAGACCTGGCTCCATGCCCGGCGCTGCGGGCGGACCGATACGCGCAGAGACCTGGCTCCATACCCAGCGCTGTGGGCGGACCGATACGCGCAGAGACCTGGCTCCATACCCAGCGCTGTGAGCGGACCGATACGCACAGAGACCTGGCTCCATGCCCGGCGCTGCGGGCGGACCGATACGCGCAGAGACCTGGCTCCATACCCGGCGCTGCGGGCGGACCGATACGCGCAGAGACCTGGCTCCATGCCCGGCGCTGCGGGCGGACCGATACGCGCAGAGACCTGGCTCCATACCCGGCGCTGTGGGTGGACCGATACGCGCAGAGACCTGGCTCCATACCCAGCGCTGTGGGTGGACCGATACGCGCAGAGACCTGGCTCCATACCCGGCGCTGTGGGTGGACCGATACGCGCAGAGACCTGGCTCCATACCCGGCGCTGTGGGTGGACCGATACGAGCACAGACCTGCTGTGGGCGGACCGATACGCGCAGAGACCTGGCTCCATACCCAGCGCTGTGGGCGGACCGATACGCGCAGAGACCTGGCTCCATATCCCGGCGCTGTGGGCGCACCGATACGAGCAGAGACCTGGCTCCATACCCGGCACTATCGCCACGGACAACGCTCGGCCGAGCCGGAACTGCCAGACTTGCAGCGAACACACGGGAGCGCAGGTTACGATGCGGCGGATACACAGGAGTGCAGGGCACCAGAAGGCGGACACGGGGGTGCAGGGTACAAGGCGACAAACGCGAAAGAGTGCAGGGTACAAGGCGGCAGACACAGGGGAGTGAAGGGTTCGTCACAATGAGTAGCGGATACACGGGTGCAGAGGGTACGTAGCACAGAGGCAAACCGCCAGGAGGTATGTCTCGATTGCTACCTGGAACTGAATTCCATGGTCGTGTAGTCTAACCTTTTCCTCCCCCACTGTGGCGAGTTCGCTTTTCCCGCTCTCTTCGGCTGCTGGCTGCGGAGCGTTGCCAGGCGCTGTGCCCACGTCCGAAAGGATGCAGGCCAGTTTGTTGCTACATCGGGAGGCGCGGCCGGTGGCGTTTCGCAAAAGCCCGGGGGCCCGTCATGGCGACAAAGGGCCCGGCACACCCATGAAGCGTCATACTCCGCGGGAGGCCTTCACAACGGGAGGCGAGCGTGGCGCTAGACCGCGATCGCTTTAAACGGGGGCCGGCGCCGCAACGAGGCCTTGGGTGCCGGCGCCAGCGTTGCTGGTGCCGCGCGCACCTGCGAAAGCCGTCCAGCCGGCCGGCATTCTGCGCTGCGACGCCCTCCTCGGCGACTGGAGGCGGTGCAGCCGACCCGGGGAGGGAATTCACTTTCGTTCGGCCGGCCTCGCCCGGCGCAGAGGCGGCGCACGTGCCTCGGACCGGCCTGTCGGCCTGATCCTATCGCCTCTGATGACGGCGATAATCGGGCCGCGGATGGGCAGATGAGCCGGCACGACGTCATCTGGCCCAGTTACATGATAGACTCATCAGAAAACATGGCGGGATCGGCCGGCTTTCTGAACGCCGCCGCCGCCGGACGGCTCGTTTGAGAGGCGAACTCGGCGCGGCCGCAAGGACACCGGCGCTAATCCAACGCCCCCCCCCCCCTTCCCCCTCTCTCTCATCAGGCGTAGGCACCAAACCGTTGTCCATGGCAAGCGGCGCACCGGCGCCGGCCGCCGCGCGCGCCGGCCCGCCTGCCTCGTCATGGCTTCGGCCGCCGCCCGCGCCGCCGGCGACGCCGCCCGGTGCGGGCGGGCCGGACCTGCATCAGCGCGACGACCCAGATCGCCGCCGGCGGCTGCCGACCCGCCGCCGCGGGGCGGGCGGACGGGGGTCCCTGCCCTCCCCTCGCCACCGCTGCTCCTGCGTCCGCCACTGCCGCGCGGCCGCCGACGAAAGTGTCGCGGCTTCGGCGCGTGTTTTGCGCGGCGGTTGCGACAGAGCGGCCGCGGCGCCCCGCCACTCTGCCTTTCGCCGCCGGCGCCGCCTGTGTACTCATGGCGGGGGTTCTCAGGACGAGACGAACGCGGGGTCCTTAGCGAATTTGGAGTCGGAGCGATGGGCGGTAGATTTGGCCGGAGGAGTCAAACGCAGCGCTCGCTGTTGGCGTACCTCGTAAGATGAAGTTGAGACAAGTGTTAGCCGATTTAGTGAAAGTAACGACAATGCCAAGCCTATACGATCTCTCACACCGGGCGAGATAGCTCGGGGAATGGCCATCCACGTTTGGCCTAGTCCTGAACAGGTTCGCATACATAATTCCAGCAAGATAAGTTAACGATTCACTGACTCGTGATATAGCCTCTCAAACGCCTTTATTTTCAAAGCCCCTCTGCTTTCTCGTCCCGATCGGCATCAGACGCGACGTTTGAGTTGGCCATCCTTGATCTCTCCTGGCCGACACAGGAACGCGGTGACCGGTGGCTGCTTCACCTGCGGTCCCCGCTCATCCGCATCCTTGTCAAAAGCCCCTCAGGAGGGTCTGCTCACAAGCCCTTCACGAAGGTCAGCTCGCCAGCCCCTCACGAGGGTCAGCTCACCAGCCCCTCACGAGGGTCAGCTCCGGCTGATTGTGGCGCACCTAGCTGGTGGCCTAGCGGCGCCCCCGCCCCCCCCCCCCCCCGCGATGCCACCTCACACGACGACTTGCCGATCCGGTCACTGACCTTTCCGGTCTGCGCCCGTCACTTCGAGCTATCTCAACAGCGGAGGAGACCGCGGTCGGGCGGCCCCGTATCGGCCGGCGCGCTGGAGGCCCACGTGACGCGGCGCGGGCCCCAGCGGGCAGAGCAGGGCAGGGCACGGCGGGGCAGGGCAGGGCAGCGCATGGCGCGACAGGCGAGCGCCTGATGTCAGCCGAGCGAACCCTCACCCCCTGGCCGCTGGGCGCACGGACCACACGGCCCGCCCCGGTCATCGGGCGCAGCGGTGGCATCAGACCTGGTGACGCATCCATTGAGCATTTCCAAACATCGCGCTGCTGCTCCCGTAGCTGAGACGTGAGACGGCCGACGCCGCTGCATGGGAGACTGAGGGGGGCCCGGTGCCGCCTGCCCCGCGGGTATCGGCCCCGCCCGCCGGTTTGCAGGCGAGCGCCGTACGGTTGGAGCCGCCGCTGGTCACACACCTTGGCCAGCTCCTCCGCGGTGTAGCCTGCAAGGCCGCCCCGTGTCCGTTTAAATCGCCTGCCTCTGACGTCACCGGCGTGATCGCGAAGTTAAGCCCGCCCTGCCGCGACGGACGGGACTCCAAACCACGGCGCTCCGGCCGCAACAGCTGTGCTAAAATTACGGCAGTCCCGCCACAACACTACCGTATTATCGCGGCGATCTCCATTTATGGACCGCTGCCACTCCCCTCCCGCACAAACCAGACTCCCCTGCGTCCCCAAACGCCGCCGGATTAGGGTCACATGGTGCGGCGATATGTCACAAAACCCACCACCTGGGGCGGCCGCCGGCGGGGGTCCAGCATGACGTTCTCCAGGCCGGGGAACAGTGAGATTTATTGGCCCATTCAGATTCAGATCCCTTGACTACCCATGGATAATTAGATGAAAGAGCAACGCGTTATTGGGCGTACGGCAGCGTCCGTTTTCAGGGACGGCTACGGTATTTTCCTTTGAATGTAATCATAACGAGCACCGGCACGTAGCATGGAACATCCGACAGAAATGCGCCCATTTGGAACGTATAAAATTCGGCATCACCCGTGGTATCAGCCCACCCAGCAACAGAAATGAAAGCCGCTGCTGGGAGACCCCCCCCCCCCCCCGCTGGAGGCGCTCTAATGCGAGGTCACTGTTTGCCCGGAGACGCAGTTTACCTCGGGCTTGCGGGACCGTCCACCAATCCGCTGGCCGTTCCGCGGTTAGTCCGTGACGTTTGCTGAGAAAGCCACATGAATGAACGACAGCTGAGTGACGTAACAACATTTCGCGTGCCGCAACAGGACGATGTACGAATCTCTGAGGACGGCAGGCGAATTCAAAGCGTTGCGTCGTGTTTGTAAGCCACTGGCGACATCCATGATGCGAGCAGCACTGCTGGCGGCGCGGCCGATACTGACCTTTCATCGACCTGGCCGCGTTGCTGGCCTGCGCGTGCTCGATGCTCGTCGCGTGGTGCCAGGTCATGCCGGGATACATCCTGCCGGTCTGGCCCGGCGTCACACCCGCCCACGCTGACCGGGTCACACGACGCCTCAGAGATCGCCCTCCGCCGGGTCACTAAGGGCGTGCCATCACACCCGGTTGTCGCCAGCTGACCCGGGTCACGTGCCGACCTCACACTGCTGGGTCACGACGCGGCGCGGCCGACCGGCGGCCCCGGGCGGCGCCATCGCCTCGGGCCGGTCACGTGCTCCGACAGCGCGCGCGCGCGGGTTCGCTGCCCTCGGGTGCACAGAGCCCCTCCCCCGTCCAACCCACCGACCAAAACTCGACTGGCCCGCGCGGCCGGCGGCCGACCGGCTGGCCCTGCGCGCGGGCCGGTCCATTCGCTGGCCGCGGGGGGAGGCCACCGCGCCGCCCGCGGCGATCCGGCCGACCTGGGAGTTGCCGGGTCATGAGGGAGGGGGCGGGGTGAGGGTCGGGTCGCAGAGTATCACGCGCCGGGCCGACAGGTGAGGAACACATGTTGGTAGCGGCAGAGACGAGGCGAGACCGCTAGATAACTGCGATCTATGGGGGGGGGGGGGGGGGGAGACGTAGACGAGAACCACAAGTGGAGCCTGGTCGTGAACTAACAGTCCACAAATCCCCTGCACGAGCTTACCCAATGTGGTTTCATGTTTGAAGCAGGCGCGACACCAACAAAGCTGATTGCACCTCTGTGCAGCAAACATTTTTATGAGCTGTCCGCACAGCAGGGAGTTGTAGCCGTGTCGTACCACGTCATGAGGGCGACTCTGTTTACTTTGCCGCCGCATCTGGGCTTTGCCCCAGCCGGCGCCGCCCCGCAGCCCCGGCTGGTGTTCGGTCTATTTCATGACAGTCACAGCACGGCCGACTGCCTCCGATTCCTCCGCTCAATTCCGCGTCCACCCCAGGACCAAACCAGGCTGCGATGGCCCCTTTTTACATGCTTATCCGCTATCAAAAGAGCTGGGCGCGAAACTAAAAGGACGCGCAGCATCCATAAAACCAAGACTGGACGACACCATGTTCAGGGTAATGTATGAAGCAGACATATGTAAGAAGAACACCATACCTCACACTGGCGCGCTCTAGCACACCATGTGACAAGATCGATTTGCTCGTCAACTAAGCGGTCAGCAAGTGGCCGTAACGACCGCCCATTGTCTTCATTTTTGCACGGGATCGACAGCATATTTGGCGTGGTGGAGGCGTGCTGGACGGCCCCAAGCGTCGCATGCAATGCTCGACAGTAGTCGATGAAGCCGCCACGCACACCTGTCCGTGCGCATGGTTCTCGACACGCCTGGCGCGCGGGGGTTTGAACGGGTCGTTACCAGGCGGCGCATCCGGCTGGCGCATCCTTCAGAGCAGCCGACGTCGTTTTCGAAACGGTCTTAGAGGTGGGTCCAGTGAAGCAATCTAACCGCCAGCCGTGGGAAACATGCAGGCTGAGCCGGGGATAATCCGGCTGTTGTAAGAGAACGGTAGCCCCAAGGGATGGGTGGGTGGTTCGCGTGATGTAGTGAATTTTCTTACTGTGGCTCACACAGTGAGCATGGGGCCCCCACTTTCAAGCATTCCTCCCTGAGCGAACAGTGGATTAGGGGGACAGCCTCCCCCCTCCCCCCCCCCCCCCAAGAACAGACCTCATGCAAAAATGACATTAACCCTATTGAGTTGCGTGGGAAGAAGGGAAAAAGCGCAGCTTGCCTGCTCCCAACTCTGGAGAGATTTCACCAGCACTGTCACTATGCACTCCGGCGAGATGTGTGCTCATAAACATCACAGTCACTTTGTACACACACACACGCACACACACACACACACACGGGAAAGGCAAGGAACTTAAGTCTTCAGATCTGAGACCCGCGAGTATTTTACTCAACCTTGCATTTATTTGACCATCGCCGCCGTTCGTAAGGGCATCTAAAGCCAAGACGATGAGGCGTAGGCCCTACCGAGCTCCACGAGTCGACGTTTCATTAAAGTCATGAACTGCAAGCCGAAATATGCGACCAACTCCGAGTTTCAACTCAAAGCTGCTGCACCATCACCAGAAATCCATTTATCTCCTCTCTAAATTACTGCGGCGACTATCTGGTCCCCAACTGCCAGTAAAAATAGATGTCAGTGCGAATGAAATCGACCAGGGAAGGTGGTCCAAAATTAACAGTAGCTGCCGTGAGTAACCACACGAACTTCAAACTTAGTCTTCTAACAAGCATTAACGCGCACCGGGCGTTGATCAACGTGCAATTGTTGTTACACTCTTCTGTTTTAAACAAATGGTTGCCAGCGAGGCAATTCGGTCACATGAAGGACACACCACCACTCTGTTCTCCCCCTAAGCGCGACGGAGCGTGCTGTTCACGCCATTCAATCGTGCGAGGCGTGCGATGCATACGTTTCTTGGAATGTCCGGTCATCCACCTGTATATTTCGTATAACTAGGTCGCTGTGTGCGTGTCGGAGCTGTGCTTCGCCACTGGCCCACGGCTCCCAGTGCCAGACGGCGCGGATCCGGGTCGAAGGCAACGAAGCCTTGGGAGAAGCCGGGCGTAAGGAGCGCTTGGGACCGACTTGAATCAACTTGAATATGATTGGACTGGCGTAGACTGCACGCCGTACGCAACTTCAGCATGTATTTCGTTCGTTTCACTGGCAACAGTGTCAGGGAATGGCTCAAATCATTACAGTTGCAAGCATGTGTCAGCGTCGATAAGCCGAGCTTACCGCTCCAAGCACGCTGCCCGTAATCCTGTTAAGATGATCCCACGGCGCAGCGGCCGTGTCGTGAGATGGACTCCGCGCCGGGATGTCATCACCACAGCATTCCTCGCCCAGTCCCGCCGAGAGCCGCTCTCGCTCTCGACGCGACAGCCGCGGGACATCGGCGGCGAACGAGACCACCGTGCCCTTGCGTGCTGACACGTCAGCTAGACCCGTCCGACGGGCGCCCTTCGGCAGGAGGAGTGGAGCCCGAGTCCTGGCCGCCACACCGCCCGCGGGACCTCCGCCCGGGAGCGGCGCGGACCTCCGCCGGGGAGCGGCACAGACCTCCGCCGGGGAGCGGCGCGGACCTCCGCTGGGCAGCGGCGCGGACCTTCACCGGGGAGCGGCGCGGACCTCCGCTGGGGAGCGGCGCGGACCTCTGCCGGGGAGCGGCGCGGACCTCCGCCGGGGAACGGCGCGGACCTCTGGCGGGAAGTGGCGCGGACCTCCGCTAGGGAGCGGCGCAGACCTCCACCGGGGAGCGGCGCGGACCTCCGCCGGCGAGCGGCGCGGTCGTCCAGCGGCCGGGCTGCTGGACGACCCCGGCGCCGGCGTCGGCTTCTCACGACCGCGATCTGCGCCGTGACCGGGCTCAGAGCGGCCGGCCTGCCGGGCCCCGCGGTCCGCCGCGCATCCTGGTGGCGGTGATCCCCGGCTGCGGCACGGACGTCGTCGAGGCGGACCTGGCCGCCGCGCCGGGCCGCGCTTGCGCAACGCCGGCGGTTTGGCCCGTGAGAGTCGGGCGCGCTCTGGGACCTACCAGGACCTGGCCGCGGATGGGTGCCGTGCGGCGTCCGTCGTCTTTGCGCCAGCGGAGCCCGGCGGGTAGGCCATGCCCAGGCAGCAGCAGCCGTCCCCGGCGGGGCGGCGGCGCGGCTGGCGGGCTGCCGTCCCGCCCAGCTGCTGGAGAGCACTGGGTGAGTGTTCATGGACGGCTGACGCACCGACGGGATCGATCATCAGACTAGGAATCCGGAGATCGCCGCAAGATTCCCCCCCCCCCCGTAAGGGACCATGAGGTCCGCTCGGGGGACCCATGGGCCTCACCCAGCCGTCTCTAACACACACCCGAGAGGGATAGTGATGTCCACTTTGGGGACGCTGGGCACGAGACATCCATCTCCGACACCCAAACGTGAGGTATCATGAAATCCGCTTGGGGGACCCATGGGTTCCACCTCAGCCGTCTCTGGCATCCACTTGGCAGGCAGCACGACAAACCCTTCAGGTTACCAGCAAAGAAGACGCCAAGAAAATCCGCCGCTCACGATACCAGCTAAGAAGCCTGCCTCAGCACGAGGCTTGAACAGTGAAACGCCCAGACAATGCGGGGTCAAGGGGAGGGAGGGGGCGAGGTCTAGCTACTGGGCGAAGACCGCCTTCGCACAGCGGCTCGAGCAGCGAAACTCGCAGAGAACGGGCGTGCCTAGTGTTCCGCTTGGCTCGGCTCGGCTCGGACCGCTGGACGGGGCGACCCCGACGTCTCGGCGCGACTGTAGGGTGGCAGTGATTGGTGGGGAGAAAAACGTCATGCGACCACGGCAGTTGGCGACGAGGCGCTTCATGATAGTAGGTGGGAGAGAGGGGTTGGGCGACAGCCTCACAAACATGTAGAGTTTATTACTGAACGTTGAAAGTGACGTACTCTACTAAGCTCTCGACGAAACGAGATCTATCGGAAAACATTTTGGGTTAAATACGCAGAATCGTGTCATGCCCTGCCCATTCCTTTGGTACTACTGTTAAACTCATTCTAAACGCAAAAGTTACAGACGGCACAACAAATTTAAACAGCAAAAGCGCAAAAATTACCACATAGCAGACCTATTCTGTATACTCCCAGCAGACAACAAGCCTGAAAGTGATGTATTATCTGCGTCAGCGATTTGCAGCGAGCAGCCTAGTGCAGGGTTCCAGAAACTTTCAGGTTCATGACCCGCTCGTTACGTCCTCTTCAGTCATATCCCCCTCCGTTTCTATCTTTCATCGCACGTGCGTTCAACTTCCCGTCCTGAATGCACTGCGGCATGTGCAAACAAAGTTACGGCCTCTAATCATCTATAGAATGACGGCGGCACCTTGACACACTTCCCAAATGAGACGTTCAGGCGCAGACCCCCTTCACTCGGTGTTGCTTACATTGAGCGATGACGCTGCTCCACAGCAGTCCCTGCATCCCTACTCACGAGTATGTGCACGCCGCTCCTGACATCAGCACTCGACCGCCGCGGGACGCCTGGGCCCACCCTGGCCGGGCTGCGCGACTGAGGCGACACCCACACTCGGGCCGAGAGCACGGAGCGGCAGACGGTGTCGGAGATGGTGGGGGTGACGGCAACGTCAGTCCAGCGTGAGCGCGTGCCGTCCGGCGGCGCCGGTGCACTGTCCGCCCGGCATATACAGCACAGTTCGGTACAGGGCGCAGCGCGACCGGCAATGACCGCCGTTCAGCCTATG